GTGCATCGATGCATGGAGAGTGCATCGGTGCATTGAATGCATTCGATGTTTCAATTTATTCATTGATGCATCGATGCATGGTATTGATGCATCGGTGCATGCCTTTAAAAAAATTGATTTAAGGCTTGATTTTGGTTCAAAATACTTTGTGAAAAATGTTTCAAAAATAGTTTAAGTACAAATCACAATTTTACACTTTTAGTAAGGTTTAAAATTGACCTTGAAAAACTTGGAGTAATAATTTGATATTCGTTTAATTGAATCGAATATACATTTGTAAAATCATTTGTAAAATCTTAAAATTCATTTAACTTAATTTGTTATATCGAAATATCAAAAATGTTTTCAACAAGTGTCATTTATGCAATTATGTGACATGAATGAATTTTGAGGACGAAATTCTTTTTAAGGAGGGGAGAATTGTAACACCCCAATTTAGGGGCTAAAATTAAGAAAATATAAATTGGTGGATTTAATTGGTATTTTTGGAAGAAATTGGGAATTAAATTGTAAAATTTCAAAGTTGGCAGACCATTTTAAGAAGTGTAGGAAGTTCAGTGACTAAACTCATTGTTTACCCATTTTTATTATGGGATGAATTATAAATCCATTGACGTGCCCAGTTTCCAGTTTATTTCCCAGTTTTCCTCTCCCGGTCAACCAACTTTGAACTCCGATCTACTCGCCGTCCGACCTCCAAACGACGAGCCGAAACCACCATCGTGTTCGTTGTCAACCGAGGAACAAAACCCCTCAAACCTTTCGTCGTGAATCATCGTCGTTCGTCGTTAATTTCAGTCGGAAGTATCGTCGGTAATAACTCAATTTTAGTTAGTTTTTCATCGATTCACGACGATCGGGTCATCCGTTTACGACACCTCCCGCACCATCGTGTTCATTGCATCGTACCGAGTTCGGCGGTGTCATCCTTGGTCTCCGTCGACGGCGGCGCGTGAGGAGGTGAAGCGGTCAAAGTTTCCGATTTGTTGAAATCGAGCTCTCTGTCGTTCAAAATTGTGAACCGAGCTTTGTAAGTATCTCGAAATCGCTCAAAATAATTTTTAGAAATTTTTCCGGGATTTTATCACTGTTCACGCGCCCCACGCGCCGCCACTGCGCGTGGGGAAGGAAAAAATGACCGGTTTGACCGGTTTTGGTGCATAGTTGACCGGTTTGACCGGTCATAACCCGACCCGACCCGTTTACCCGACTCGTTGACCCGACCCGATCCGTTGACCCGACCCGTTGACCCGTTGATCGTTGACCCGTTGACCGGCGTTGACCACTATTGACCAAAACTTTGACCGGCTTTGATCGGGCATTAAACGACCTTTGACTTCGACCGAGTATACCTATCCTGACATTTTTCGACGTTCCAAATCCGATTCCGCTGTCCGTTTTTCAAAATTCGAACCCGAAGGCCTCGAAATTGCCGGTCAAACCCGTTGACTTTGATTTTGACCGAAAATTCCAAATTTCCGAAAAGTCATATTTTATGCTTTCGACGTCCTGAATCCGAATCCGTAGTCCGTTTTGCCAAATTCGAACCCGGTAAGCTGTTTTTCACTGATTTATCATCCAATTCGATCCGTTTATCACAATTAAGCTCCGTTTCTGATATAATTTATGTTGATATATATCTGAGGAATTATTGGAAGTTGAATTGAAGATCAAAGGCGTTCGAATGGAATTTTAATGGTCGATCAGTATTGCACGAAAATCGAGGTAATACTTTACTACCTCTTTATGCTTTATGGAACATGTTGATATTGGTAAATGCATGAATAAGATAATGTTGGTCACTTTGGTGGAGTTAAATAAATTATACACTCGATATGAATGTGGTAGAAATTCTGTAACTGATTACGGATCGAATGACTAATATAAGAGATTGAGGAATTGTTAGATTAAATTACAAGTTTGTGATTGGTGATAAAGAAATCAGCCCTGTATATGTATCGTATAATTTATTTCATCAAAGGTTAAATGTTAAAGGTACTTGGATGAGAAATTATGAGAATACTCCGGTAGGGTAAAAATTACGAAAATACCCTTATGTTATAAAAAGACAAGATTTGAATATGGAAGTTAGGTAAGAGGATTTTACAGACATATTGATCTGATAAAAATATTGATGTGCATAAAAATGTTAGTTTTATTTGGAAATTATGGATAACAGGTTTTAATCCTAGGAGAGTTTGTGAAGGATACTAGAAGTCTGTTAAGAGAACCGTTTCAAGATCAGAGAGTGTTAGAAGAGTTTGTGAAGGATACTAGAAGTCTGTTAAGAGAACCGTTTCAAGATCAGAGAGTGTTCAAGAAAGCAATTAATCATAGGATCTCTAAATTATATTATTTTCGTTAAGAGCTAATATCGAAATTATTTGGTTAAGAAATTATGGAAATGCCCTTAAGAGGTAGAATAGTCTGAGTTAACGCTGAATGAGAAAATACTTTGAGGATTCGTACTTAACTCGATTAAGTACGGATTTGATTGTTAAGATCCTGATTTAGTTCAGGAAAATTCCTGATTTTTCGTTTGTAAAATCTGAGAAGACACTTGACCCGAAAATATTCGAATAATGAGTAAATACTTGAAGAGTAATTTATCGAGGGTATTATGCTGTCATAAGTGTTCGAAAGGACTGAAATAAATGATAAGATTGAATTTAATAGTAAGATCAGACGGAATGAAAGGATTGAAATACGCTGAATCTGTAAAATGACCAAAATACCCCTGTAATATAAATGACTCAAGAATATCACCAAGCTCAGGAATGATTGAATATCCTCGAGCTCTGAAATGAATGGAATAAAACTGAACATCAAAATTACCAAAATACCCTTATGACCTAAATTAAGTAAATGTCTTGGATTAATTAAGGAATCCAAGTAAGCATAAGTATTGGACTACCTTTAAAGGTAATGGAAACCAATTTAAGTGAATAGATCAACCCTAAAGCTATGTCAATACCTGAATGACATAGATATTACTGGAACATGTGTTCGTCTTCTCAAGTTTGGCTCGATGATAAATTTTGGAAGTATTCAGCTCAGCTCTAGATCGTATTCAGTACTAAGAATTTGATGTTTGTTCGACAAATCAACCACGAAGACCAAATTGAATGGAATGGAAGTACAACATGTATCTGAAATTCAGGAACGTTTGAATTACTCTGGAAAATCCTGAAGTAACTGGAATGGACATGACTGCTAAATGAACTAGGTAACCTCAATGACTGAGGATTTAATAAGTGATTTGGATAAGTCTGGAAACTCTGATAAGTTTACGTAGTGTACAATTACAATGGGTTATTAACAAATTAATCAAGTACGTCATCATTTTATGATATTGTGGAAGCGTAGAAATGAAATAAAGACATTGGAAGATTTATTCAGCGATGATTCCGAAAATGGTCTACGGACAAGAATTTGTGGTATTAAAGAGTAAATACCCTAGAAGGAAAATGAATTGATCAGTCGACATAGATTGTTAAGGTTCTGAATCTTCGTTCTCAAGTTATTCGATTATCCGATCAATTGACATGGATGTAAAGGATTCTGAATACCCTTCTGATTACGTACAGCTTCTGAAAACTGTCCGAATAAGATAATATCTTGATAATTCACATTCTGAATAACTGATGATTCTGTCAGTTAATGAACTCTTCCAATAGTGATTCTAAATTCCAACATTCTATCGACATACTGAAGAACTGTGTTTCTCTGCCTGATATAGTACCTCTAAATAATACCTGTAAACTCTGGTGTGTTCCCTAATTACATGAATATTTTATCTGATTTCAAATTTGAATTCTGTTATGATACCTGACGTGGATTCTGATATGATATTGACATGGATTCTGATCTGATACATGACCTGGATTCTGATATGATACTTGACTTGAATTATGTTTTGATTTTTGATATATTCGTTTACGGACGGAACATGTTTTATTGGGGGGTATTGTTGGAGGAAGATTACTTGGAGGTTCCTGGGCTGTGTGCTCAGGGCCTTACTTACCGGTTCCTCGGCTGTGTGCTCAGGGCCTTACTGGACGTGACGGGGTTGTATGGTTCTGGGAAACCTACACATTTTGTTCGTGACGGATGGGGGTATATATATATATGTTTTAAAAAGATCTGAAAAGTTACATGGTTTTTGGGAACACACTAGAAAACCTATTCTGATCTCCTAAACTCAGTCATCCAAAATATTTCTCTGAACTGAACGCTCATTGTCCGTTACCACCTGAAATATCAGTAGGATCTCTGCTCAGCATAAAAATCTGTAAATGTTCGGAAACAATAAGGAAATATATATTTATCTGTATCTGCACGTTCATCAGCATCATCTGGTAGTTCTGTATTACTGAGCTTTCCAAAGCTCACTCTATTACTCACCTTTTCAGGTTAAAAGAATTGTACCAGTGCATCTATTGACTTCAGTAAGGAGTTCGTCCGGCGTTGTTGCAGAGTATGGTACATGTGATTAGGGGCATGTAATTGTATTTTGATTTATATACGAGTTTGGAAATCTGTTTTATTTTTAAATAGTGAAAACTGATTTTATAAGTTTACATGTTCTGATAAAAAGTTTTTTAATTTTCCTCTATTTTTACAGTGGGTCGCTCCGGTGGCCCTAATGTGACTTCCCGGATCGGATCGGGCTACCCGCATCGGTCTGGGGGGTTACAGCTTTTTACTATTGTTATTTTCAACTTTACGCTTTTCAATCTTCTTTATTTTCAGTCCTTATTACTTTTCTTATTTAATCCTTGTTCCACCAAAATCCCACTTATTTTATTTCACTACAGATTGCCTGGATCATAGCCAACTCAAACTCGAATTTAGGAATTTTCTAAGTCCTGTGGACCAACCCTCACTTCTCTTTACTACGGTCTTTCCTTATTTATTTTGAGAAGAATGAATTTTATTTGACAGTAAAACAATGTTTGTCTACTTCTGGAGAAGTGCAAATTATTTGGAAATTATTGAAGACAAATTTTGCATAAAACAACTATCGAGAAGGACCTGCCAACCATCGTGCAATGAAATCTTCTGCTTTGTCCACCACTTGTTTTTGCAACAAAAATATGTCGAAGAGATCGCTTCTCTACCATTTTGCAAATCTTTGTTCAACTCTCGCGTAGATCCTAACGAACCACTATGGTTTTCCAGTTGTGAATACGATGTATGTTGGAAAAGAGTAAATTTCATTGATAGATTTAATATTTAAATTAAATTCATGTTCCTTTTGAATATTACAAATTAAAATATATTTTTAATTTGAATATTAGTGAGATAATTATTCTTTGAATATGTAAAATTAAAAGATATTTGTTACCTATTTAACTTTGAATATTAAAGATTATTATATCCTTTAGAATATTTCAAATTAAGATAATATATATTTAAGTTTGAATAGTAAAAGGTGACTTTATCTTTTGAATATTTCAAATTAAAAGATATTATTATTTGTTTAAATTTGAATATCAAAAGATATTTAGTTGGAGTAAATCTCTCTTGAAAATCCCCTATAAATACTGAGTTAACATGTTAGGTTAAACACAATTTAAGATCAAGTTTCATAAGTTTTTCAAGATATCAGAATTCAAGAACTTATCCTTTCTTGAAAAATATTTTCTCTCCTTAGTTTTCCGGAGATAGTCAAAGGCAAGGATAGTTTGTGATATCTACAATTGTGTTACTGTAGATGATCATCTAGTTGTTGTATCCTGAGATACAGACGACCAACGATCTCGAGCACCAAAGGAGTGGCCGAAAAATATGTCTTAAGGAAATTGTGTAGCGACGAACCTCAACTATTTCCGATCAAAAGATCAATCAAGAAAAGTGTATTTTTTTCTTTAAAGTTATTTTTATTTATTTATTAAGAAGTTTAATCTGGTTTGTTTTATCTTCTCAGGCGTGATTATTGTCTCGGATTGTTATAATTCTTACAATCCTAAGATAAGAAAACTCATTCTTTATCATTAATTATGTATAATGATATTTAAATATTATTTATAATTATTTTATTCTCTATATTATTCTCGGATTTAACACTTTTGTCCAACAATCTGAAGACATATTGTTTTTTTATTTTTCCGAGATGATATAGATCCTTTTGAGTTTAATCATTGTTGTGTACAAAGGAAGTGCTAAAAAATCGGCAAAACAAATATTGAGCAAAAATCAAGAGGAATTTACGCAAATGATAAGTTTCCTTCAATTCTGAATTATGAATTCTAAAATATTTTGTAAAGATTTTGCCTTTTTTTATGTGGGACATGGTTACACCAATTTATGGGTAGGAATTCAAATAATTGGATTTCAAAATCTTGGCAAGGTCTTTGTGGGGGCTCACATTGAATTTTGATAGTTCAAGTTTTTCATTGACAACGATGAAGTCAATCGGTAGGTGGAATTTTAATATTTCCCTTTAAATCTGAGATGATTTGGAACTCTTTCTTCTACCTTTCTTTTAATCTGAAATGGTTCAGATATCGTGGTGAAAATGAGATATCAAATACATTTGTTTCGGGATTTATCCTGTTGTTTTAACGGGTTTTCTTAAAATCTCAATGTGGACAAATATGTTTAACATAAATTGTTGTCAAAGTAACATTGGTTACTGATTGTATTTCATAACATTGATTATGTACGATAATAAAATCGAAAATAAACGAGAATTAACTTTCTGTTTATTAGAATCTTTTATTTCGTATTTGAAATCAATTGAGATTTTAATTTTGTCATCTAACATAATTATTTGATTACTATTTATAATAGAAATCATTTGAAAGAAACAAGTTTGTTACTCATTTAGTTTCTAACTAAATTTTATTGGTAGAATAAACCAGAATTTATTTTTGGTTTATTGTTCAAATTATTATTAATTCTAATTTTGTGTGTTAAACGAAATCATGATTGTCAGTGGTCATGAGCCACAACGAGAAACTTGTAAAATTCCGTGGGTAGAATTTCAAGATGTGATAACATAAGATGTTATTTTATTTGGTCATGGTGAATTTGGCCAAATAGCAAATGATTCTCCTATTATTAAAGATGATGAGTTAAACGTTGTTACCATATTCATTTATATTAAAGTTTAGGAGTATTTTGACTTCCTATACTGAAAATACATCATGAATGTATTATCGGATACACAATATAAAGTTTATAATATCCAAAATAAAATAATTATGGATGACATTTACACCATAAATATGAAATGAAAGATGCTGAAACTATGAAAGTTTTAGTGGTCAAGTTCTTAAAATTTGTAATAATGGCACAGACGAGGAAGAATAAATATTTTCTTACCTCCATTGATGATAGCAAAAGTATTGCTATGTGTATTTTCTAAAAGAGCAAAAGTGAAGTTATAAAGAATTTTATTTTCTATAAATATGAAGTTGAAAGCCAACTTAAAAGATTAAGATAGTAAGAAGTGATTATGAAAAACATGATATTATCATGAAGTGACATCACCATTATCTCCTAAAATAAGTGGAGTAGTAAAGCGAAAGAATTGAACCTTAAAGGAAATAATGAATGCTATGCTAGAAAATTCTGGGTTGTCACAAAACATGTGGGGGAAAGGAGAAGTTATTATGTCAACTAATTACCTTTTAAATAAGGTCTACAGGAAAGAAAAAATGATAAGACACCATACAAGTTATGAAAAAGTCAAAAACTTGTTTCATACCAGCATTTGAAAATGTGGGGGTGTCTTGAGAAGGTAATGACTCCATTACCAAAACAAATGAAAATAGGTCCTAAACAATGGATTGTATTTTCTTTTACTATCATATTATATTAGAAGGATAGAATGCTGCTAGTTGGATATTGATATTTAAGATATCAATGACACAAGTGAATATGTTTCACATCAGGAGGAGAAACCATGTCATGGAAATCCTCAAGAAAATAGTTATAATCAGATCCACAATGGAATCTGAGTTTGTAGCTCTAGATAAGTCTAGAGAATAAGTTAAATGGATTTAGAATTTCTTAGAGGTTACTTCTGAATGGCTAAATAATGTGCCAACTGTATGCACATACTATGACTAGCATAGAATATCAAGTATAATAGTAAGTCGAGACATATGTGTCGTCGACATTATACCATATACAACTGATCTCAAATAGAGTTATCTTTTTTGATTTTGTAAGATCAAAAGATAACATCGTGGATCCACTAACCAAAGGGTTAAATAGAGATCAAGTTGAGAAAACATCTAAAGGAATGTGACTAAAGCCCATGAAATTTAAAGGATTTATGTGAAGGAAAACCCTACCATGTTGACTGCAGATCCCAAGATCTAGGTTTAAAGGGACAACTTAATTGCATAAACCGTGTACGGTCACTGTAGGGGTTTCTTACCCCAAGTCCATTTCTATGATGTAAACATTGATTAAAGTGGTACAAACTAAGCAAAACTTTTAATGACCATTGTGTGCTTCGGTGAGCCGAGCAACATAAGTCACCTATGTGAGAGTGAAGTGGGGCCGCTTCAAGAACACTATTGTGCATAGTTCTTTCAAACTCTTGCAGAATCAGCCGATGTCCATGGCTTTCAGGACATACCAATGAGTACTAAATTCTTGCCAATGAGGTAGTTCTGTGAAGTATGTCATCGTTTACACAAACGACAAAATAGTTCAAGGACATCATGTCTACTGGTTAGCCAGTAAAGTAAACATACTGTCACAAGGGAAGGTTCAAAGGAGGAAACCTACCTATCCTTTGTAACTATTGATCATAGAGGCTATCACCACACCGAGTCAAAATGGTTTTGATAAAATCATCAATTTCATTCATGTGGAGGATTGTTGGAAAAGAGTGAATTTCATTGATGGATTTAATATTTAAATTAAATTCATGTTCCTTTTGAATATTATAAATTAAAGATCTTTTTAATTTGAATATTAGTAAGATAATTATTCTTTGAATATGTCAAATTAAAAGGTATTTGTTACCTATTTAACTTTGAATATTAAATATAATTATATCATTTATAATATTTTAAATTAAAATAATATATATTTAAGTTTGAATAGTAAAAGGTGACTTTATCTTTTGAATATTTCAAATTAAAAGATATTATTATCTGTTTAAATTTGAATATTAAAAGATATTTAGTTTGAGTAAATCTCTCTTGAAAATCCCTTGTAAATACTCAGTTAACATGTTAGGTTAAACACAATTTCAGAATACGTTTCATAAGTTTTTCAAGATATCATAATTCAAGAACTTCTACTTTCTTGAAAAATATTTTCTCTCCTTAGTTTTCCGGTAATAGTCGAAGGAAATGATAGTTTGTGATCTCTACAATTGTTCTATTGTATATTATCATCTAGTTGTTGTATCCTGGGAGACAGACGACCAACGATCTAGAGCACCAAATGAGTGGTCGAAAATCTATCTTAAGGAAATTGTGTAGCGACATGACTCAACTTTTTTCGATCAAAAGAACAATCAAGAAAAGTGTATTTTTCTTTCAAGTTATTTTTATTTATTTATTAAGAAGTTTAATCTAGTTTGTTTTATCTTCTCAGGTGTGATTATGGTCTCTGATTGTTATAATTCTAACAATGCTAAGAAAGTAAACTCATTGTTTATCATTAATTATGAATAATGATATTTAAATATTATTTATCATTATTTTATTCTCTATATTATTCTCATATTTAACGCTTTTGTCCAACAATGTATACCATACTCAGTCCCAACACTACCCCACATCCATACATCACCAATATTGAAAATTTCGAATTCAATCCATCATCATCATCATCTCTATCAAATTTGGCTGGAGTTCCCTCATCATTATCACATCTTTTTGATAATGGCAATCCACATAAACCCAAGTTTTCTATATAGGAATCATTAGTGAAAGTATCCATTTTTTTGCCTTTAGGAATGAGTCCCTCTTGAGAAAGGCTTAACACCTCCAAGAATCCAAGATTGTTTAGCTCTGTTGGAATTCTTCCATGGAACTTGTTTGATGAGAGATCTAATGATTCAACTTCTG